TTAATTGTTTTTTGGTAAACGTTGCGGTGCCTGCTTTGTTTAAGTGTTGTTACAGTTAAAGCATGCTTTTTGACCACTTCATTGTTTTGATACCTACATAGTTATAATGCTGCAGCAGGGTTAGCACAGAGAGAAATTAGATAAAATTTATAAAGCATATATAAAAGATAAAATTTTAAAGGAGCGGTGGCCCACCCTAGTCCCCTTAATTTCGCCTCTGCTTATCAAATTCATCCATTGAGGATTCTCGTTTGGAATCTGTTGGCTGGTATGACTCCTCTACAAGAGATATCTTGTGAATTGATTCTTCTACTTGCCTTTGAAGGAATTCTACTATAGGATTTATCATGAGCTGGGTAGTATGTTCTTGAGTCTCATTTTCATCTTTAGCACTTGAGGATGATGGTACTGTCTGATGAATATTGATTTTTCTTTGCTTGGAAATCTGCACAAGCTCTGTGGCTATTTTTTTCCCTTTGGTGTGTTTTGAAAAGGGGGCTTGGTAAACAATACAGAATCTGGGATACTTTTTTTGAATGTTGGTATAGTTGGAGGGAGGCTAAGACAAGAGGACATAGTCTGACTCATAGGGGAATATTTTGAAGAAAATGCTGCCATAGAATTAGAAGCATAAAGACTCGATTGCTTTTGTAAGTTTGCTTCTATGTCTGCAAGTTGCACCTTCAGCTTCCTTATTTCTGCCTCTTTTTTTGTTGAAATCAGCATTATACTGCCTTTGTTGAATCATCAACATCATATCATCATTCTGGCTATTTGATCCTTTAAAGATCCTATTAACTGTGGAATCTTTAAGGATTTTTAATCAACCTTAATTTCAATTGAATATAGTTCTTCTTCAATATTCTTGAGGACTTTATTCTGAGCCACCGCATTGTCAATTTGCCAATTTAGCACATGCTCTACTGGAGACAACTATTTAACACTTCCATCTAAATAAACTATGGTATTCTTTATCCGTAGAGTCCTTTTAACATTTCTTTGAGACATGACTTCCTCAAGTGGAGGAAAATCACTTTTATCAAAAGTGGGCTACATCATGTGACAAGCTTGAGGAGCATTAGGCGGCAGCCTAAGAGGTTGTTCCTTATAATACCTGCAAGGTAGTCTATAAGAAGATTTCTTTTTCTTCTTTTTAGATTTCCTTAACAGGTTTTCGTAACCTTCTGCTTCTTCCCAACAATCATAATCTGAATCACATTCATAATGATCCCAATAACAGTGTCCATGCTCCTTGAAGGCATAAGCTGATTTCCCATTTTTGTCGAAGCATTCAATGGAAATATCTTTAAACTTTTCTACAGGGCTTATCATGAAGATGGAGTTTAAGGATTCTCCTTTTTTCTTTTGGAGGATCTTTAAACTTGATCTCAACATCTCCTGAATCTAAAGTTCTGAATGAAGGATGAGAAGCTTGCATGACTGGTTTTGTTGTCTGTCTGATCTTTTCATAAGAAGTAATCCACGATTCAAGAAAGAGTTGCAATAGGTCTTTTCTCTGGAGTTATCTTGGAATATTAATACAAGTGGGGACAAAGTAATGCATCATTGGATACCAGTAAAGACAAATCCAAATCATAATTTTGCACTCTATATACCATTTGGTAATGGAGTGTCGCCATAGCAGCTTCTGAAACATGTGGAGCACCAATGATTTGTACTTGAACCATTAGTGCTTTGGTCACATGCTTATCTTTGAAGGGCATATTAAAATTTGGGGGAAAGGTGAACATCATTGTCCTAGCATTCAGGGTTATTTGCACAGTACCAATGACAACATGTTGGTATTCAAGGTATCTAGAGTCTAAGAGTGCAATTTTGGCTACAACATGTAATTCTTTCCTACCATGGTATGAAAGAGCAAGATAGACTGCACCTATATGCAAATGGGTATATCCATATTTTTGCCATTCAGGAACAAATTCTGGTGGGATTTTTAGGGTAATATATTGTTCTACATGGGAATATGGTAAGGTATGATGGGAGAAGGAGGATGCTTGGATGTATTCTCTGATGGCTTGGTTTTTTGGAGAAATAAGAGTTTTAATAGATTGGGTCTAGGTGGTTTTATGTTTCTTGAAAGCATAATAAGGGTTAATCAAGACTAGGGCTTTTCAGCTATTGCGGTTGTGTCTGGGATATGAGTGATTTCATATAAGTAATATATTATAGAAGTTGTACGTTTACTACATGATGGAGGTAGAGACATAGGTATTTGAGTGGAGGATGAGATGGAGGGAGTATGACATTAGTATCTTGGGTATCCATGTATGCTAAAGTTTATCTTTCCTTCACCGTTACTAATTTAATCCATATCACTCTCTGTTTTTGTATCTTGAGGCTCTTATACAAATGTTGGCCAGGTAGCCTATGAATCACCATATTCATGAGAATCTCACAAGTGAGACTATCTCGTTGAAGTCTCTTTTAAATTCATTAGAGTACTTGCAGGATAAATTGTGACTTGCAGCAGCAAACCAATTGCCCATAGCCTTTTTCTCCATGTTAATGAGAGACCTTACTAGACTCATCTCATGAACATAATGACCATAGGTCCGTAGCAAATGATCAATCTTCATGTCATAACCTTTATGATGCACAAAATCTATATTTATGACGAGCGCAAAGCATACTCAATATGACTATGGTAGAGAGATGATCATAGATTAAATTAAGAAAGAGAAACGAGAATTTTTAGAAAGTCAATGGAGAACAACACACTTCTTATTGATAGGTAGAAAACTCTTGACCTTACAAGCTTACAAGGCCACCTATTTATAAGTGAAGAAAGCATAACAAGCTAGACAATATTACATTATTGCTTACATCACACTTCATAATACAACACTTTAGAAAAGTACATCAAGACAAATACTACAGGACAAACTTTATTATCTAAGTGCTTACATCATCACACATTAATAATATTGGGCTTAACAAACTTCTTAGGCCCAAACTAAGTAACTCAAGTCCAACCTGTCTTTATAATGGGCTTATGTCCATCTAAGTCCATTCGTTCACCGGATTCTTTGCTTCTCCTTTTTTTTCTTCTTTATCAAGGTCAAGCATCAAAAGATATTCTTCAAAAAAATTTCAGTGACCGAAGTCTTCATGTCAAATGGGTCTTGTGAGTCTTTCAAGATGTCTGAGACAGGTTCTTCATCTTTGTCAGCATTCTTTTTCTGAGAACACTCTTCTTGAGAATTGGAAGCCCTCAATGCTGCATTAAGATTTTCTTGATATTTTGTTAAATCTGCACTAAACGGATCTCTACACCAACCAGGCCCATGGGGCGTCATCTTTCTATTCAGGCCAAAGGACTTTAGGGACCACTTCATTGAGCTATGCAAGACGCTTCTGATGAAAGGGCCGCAATATGGTTTGAAGGGATCAAGAAAGTAACCAAAAAGAGGACCTTTTCGACAGTAAATTATGTTAAAATGGAGAAATCTGAATTTTATGTCAAGAGGAGGATTGGAAAGAGGAGGCATCACCTCATGATTGACAAATGATTATTATTATTATTATTATAAATTATTTTGTTATGACAATATGTGATTTTTGTGTTTAGGACTGATTAGGATTTTTTATTTTATTTTTTGGTTTTATAGGAATGGACTTTTAAGGTTTGCGTTATTGTGTTTTTATTTCTTTATCTGGTATATGCACCCCTACTGTGCATTATAGCGTGCAGGATTCTGGAAATTTAGAGAGAAGTCGAGATTTTTGAATTCTCTTCCTGCTTTTTCATTCCTTCCACGCCTATTTAACCAAGTTGATAACAAACTTAACAAAATATGAAAAATAGAATTAGGAAATTACAAAAAGAAATAAAAATTATGGGAATATTCAGCAATTCCCCTATTAGGCTAAGTCATTTCTTCATAGAGCTACTTAGAAAGATATAAATTAAAACATTAAAAAGATAAATATTAACGTTAAAACTCAAATACAGGCACTTGAATTTAAAGAAAAGTGGTATTTGAATAGTGAGAATGAATAACATAATATATAGTCACGATACTCTCCGGTTGTTAGTTTTCTACAATTTACGATCGGAACTCAAGGCATGAACAATATCTTAAAGTTAAGGATAAAAATATATAATTTTCCAATTAATGTCTTGAACTTATTTTTAGCAAAAATTCAAAGAACCAGAGAGCTTGAGAAACGCACACCAAAAACTCTAAGATGCCATCATATACCATTTTTCGATTTGACCACCATAGAGCAAACTCAAACAAAAAACCCTCATTGACCAGTATTGGCTCTGTACTGTAAATACTAAAAAAATTTAAATAAATAATGTACAAAATAAGTTTCAATAACAAAACTGGGAACAGTTATATTACTTACCTATTTAATTTTTTTACCCTTATTATCTTTTAATTACCATTTGATTAAATTTAAATCAACAGTCTCAAAATAATAATTTTTTTTATTTTGTTTCTTTCTCCCGACTTTTTCTCAACTAATTATTTCTCTTTCTTTTATCCGTTGGTTGAAATTTAATCAACAGTGATAAAAAGATAATAAAGATAGGAAGATTAAATAAGTAGGTAATATAATTGACCAAACTATTAACATCAAATAGCATTGTCTCAACGATCTTAAACTTGATTCAGTTTAATTCCTGCTTGTCCTTTATTGGCAACATCCGAAAATACCACTGAAGATGAGTTCAGGAAAATAAAAAAATTAAAAAAAAAAAAAAAAAACAATACCTGTTTAAAATTTGAAATTGTTTGAGAACCCACATTCATTCCCTTTTCATTTTAATTGGAAACAGCACCATTACTTGTGTATGACTTCACTGCATGACCAATAGTAATTGAAGAATCTAAGTAATACATTTATATATGTAGTCCACTACATGACCAGTTCCCATCTCTCGACCATTCATGGGCAACAATGAGTCATGGTGACCGCGCTTCACACATTCGTGAGGCATCATGACTCGGTTTTAGTCCACCAAGAAAACCATACTATTTAAGGGGTTAGGCATTAAGAATCGCAAACTAATGTAGGCCAACTAATAACTCCTCAAGTTTTAAAGTACAAAATTTCTCTGCCTTTGTAGATACAAAAGCAGAAAACACTAGAAAGTATAAAATTGTGCAAATGTTATATAGCTAATATTCAACAAGATTCTTTTGACTATGGATTCACTGAACTATTACACACGGAGTTTTACTTTAAAGTAAACTTATTCCTACGTACATTTCTTTTGCTAAGACTAATGGGAGGAGAATCTTTACTTTGACTAACAATGGCAGAAGAGCCAACTTGGCTAACACACAATTTCTTTGAGCCACGCTGCCTTGGGTATGGGTGAATTTTAGCCAATTCACGCACACGGCATGCCACATCCAATGGTAAGGGACGTAATGCAAGCTCGTCATTTTGCTCAGCCTGCAATCACCAAATGATTGTTTACACAAACTTATCACCGAACAAAATTTTAACATTGATAGCATATTTTGCAAAAATAACTTTTAAGTTGGAAATAACATCATGTATTATAGTACCCCAGATGAGTTCCTGAGATATGAGTGAAAAATCAATGAACAAATAAGGAAGTTCCTGAAAGGAAATTAGAAGGTTAACCTCTTTCTTGTTGAATTTCTGTGCAGAACTGGCTCTTAATAGATTACGCCACTTGTCCTGCATAAATCACATTTAGATAACACAGGTTTGGAAGAAAGGTGACAACTGAATGAGTGAAGCTTTGTGAAGTACCCTGAGATCTATGGGAGTTCGGTAGCTCGAGGAAGAAAACAAAAACCTCTTTATATCAGTCCATCGACCAACTCCATATTCAGATACACCATCTACCAGCTTCATCACTTCAGAGAGATTCCACATCCTCTGATGCTTTCTCCGATCTTTCTTTCTAGATCTTTTTGGTGTCAAACATTCATCCTCAGACTCCGAGGAGAATGACTCATTGTCATACTCAACTTTCTACAAAACAAATCTATCTTGTTAAATGAGGAAGAATAATTTTGCAAACCATTAGCCATGAATAATAAGCAATTATATTCATATGCAGTTAATATCTCTAAATTCACAATTTTCTCACTGACTCAACCACAGGAACCATTTTGTTCCAAATGTCCAGTAACAAAAAACAGCTATAGACCTTAAGAACTGCAGAAATGAAATACACATGAATATCATGCTTTAGTAATATAAAATTTAAACATAAATAGATTGCCATACTATAGGTGATAAATGATCCTGCAATTGAGAAATGGTGTACAAAGAAGCAATGCCCCAGTTGTAGCCAAGACACGAGAGAAGCACAATGAAGCAAATTCATGTCAATTAACACACAAGTTACTACAAATTTTACAATTCAATTCAATAAGAGTCAGCAGACTAAATTTTAAAAAAGAATACAAGTTAACACTTAACAAATAAAATTTATACATAAGGTAAAATAATCATCAAATGTATATATTCAAGCCCATGCAGATGTATCCAAAACCAGTAGAGGATGTACATCTAAACTGATCTTAACATTATACATACACAACGATACAAACACTATCTCTCTCTCTCTAAAACACCCCTTAAAGGAAACAGTACCTCTTTCTTAGGATGCCCCTTGCAAACTTGCAACTCAGAAAGCGTCACATCACTATTTCCATTACTAGACTTCTCACCTGGAATCTTTTTCAATGCCTTAAGTCTTATACGAAGTTCATCACATGACGACACGCTCATATGTTTATTTTTTGTAACAGCAGTTGCTACCTTTTCCTTTGACTTCAAATTTGAAGATTCTTCAATATACCTCTGAGTAGGCTTTCGGAATCTCTTCTCTCTAAGTGCAGCAGGTTGGCATTTTTCAACAGAACCCTTCTCATAAGACAATATACCACCAGCAAAATGGTGATCGTTATCCAACCCATGCAGATGCTGTATATCAAGTGAAATGTTGTACAGGCAATCTACATTCGATGGTTGACTTGGATTGCTCCTGAAGGCACCATGTGACTCATACGTTACTGTCTCATCTAGAGAATCACTTTTGCAATTGGATTGTGCAATGGGCACTTTTGTTGATTCTGATACCCCACCAACAATACTACTTCCACTTAATCCTGAAGAATGACTTTCTGAACTTGAGTTTTGCAAAAGTGAACTGTCACAAGGACCAGAGCCTAGTACCTCAGCTTTGTTGGAAAATTCAAAATCTGCAGATTGAAAAAAATAAATTGTAATATGCAAAACAGAAAGGAGTAATTAAAAAGGGGGAGCTGAAACTAATCCTTTTCTTCCTTTTTATCAAAATATCATAGCAGAAGGAAACATGTTAATATTTGATAATTTACCCAAGAAGTACCCAGCTTTGTTGGAAAATTCAAAATCTGCAGATTGAAAAAAATAAATTGTAATATGCAAAACAGAAAGGAGTAATTAAAAGAGGAGCAGAAACTAATCCTTTTCTTCCTTTTTATCGAAATATCATAGCAGAAGGAAACATGTTGATATTTGATAATATACCCAAGTACTCATCACATGCGACGGAGAATCCATCAGTTCCTTCAAAATCATGGATTTCGACATCATCTAGCAATCCATCAAGTACCTAACAATATATTTTATTAAAGATAATTTTCAAATCCACAAAATAAGGACAAATACAATTTTAGCAGCAAGTATTAGGGAAATATCAAATAGATAAGGTGAGATAAACCTGAAAGGATAGACTCAAGCAACAAGTAATTAATAACAAGCAGTTTAAATATAAACATCACCCCAATAATAACTGAATATATACAAAATACCTCCAGTTCCAAATCATCCTTGCCATTCAAAGTTGTATGAGAATCCAAACCGCCTGATGAATGTAAGCACAATAGTATGAGATATAACAACATGAGTAACTAGGAAAACAACCACCAAAGACTGAAAGCAAAAATTATCATTGTTCTCAGAAAATAAGACAACATTAATACAGCATTATCAACCATAGAAAGTTATCTAGTCCAAGATAAAATCTCAAATATAGAGTAAAAATTTGATGACTTTTGAAGATGCAACATTAATTCCAATTTCCAAAGCAATCTCTGTCAACAATACTCAAGTGTGCAGACCGTTTGCTTATTTTTTCATTCTTTCACCTCATCATTTTACTTTTCCATTTATTCCAGTTTTTCGGCAAAAAAATACAGCCAAATTAAAAACAAAAAAATTTTATTGCCAACAAATAGTTAAAGTACAACTATTTTCTGTTATATGGACTTCAACCAATAGAATCAGAAAAAACAACATCAGGTCATTTGAGAATTACCAATACTTGATTTTAAACCAAATTCAAATCCACAAGAAAGACTTTCGGCGTCATAACATTTCTCTACATTCTCCTCATTAAAATACAACATACTATCCACTGAAACATGATCATTTCTAGGTTCTGCAAGTAAATGCTCAACTTCCATTACTTCATCCTTAAGAGCAGGTACAAATGATTCATCCACCTGAACCTAGGTAAATGTAAAACAGAGATATCATAAATCATATGCCTTAAGCAATACCATATTACTGTGTACAGTTTATTTAAATAGTAAAAGAAGTTCATTAACAAACAATGATGTAAATCTGCATAAGTGTACTTACAAACAGCTTTAAAATGTTTCCATCAAAATTAAATTTGCAAGCACCTAGTATGCTGAAGACCAAGAAAAACATTCTAATTTAAGGTAAAACTTGTTGAAAGGAACAAACACAATTGACAAATAATTTTTAAAGAAAATAAATAAAGTGTAATGGTTTCAGCATTGAACAATGATAAGTAACCACAAGGGTAGTTTGGGGATTTATGTCTCTTTAAGTTTTGTGCCTACATCAGCAGTGGTTCAATTTTTTATGACAAAAAAGGAGTTTTGTTATGTTGTGTAAAAATTCAAACCAAGGGGTGTGTTTTTATATTAGCATAAAGGCCTAGAGGGATCCATGGCGTAGGTATGAAATTGGACAGGGTTGAACTACTGAATTTACTCTATAATGTAAATGAGTCCTTCAGACAGAAGTCAAAACCAGCACTAAACTTTAGAGGAAAAGTAAACATTAATATTTAATAGCTCAAGAGCAAAACAACACGATTGAAATGTCAACGAAGGATATTAAATGCCACAAGAAACTTTTCATCTTAGCCACCAATAGTGGGCAACAATCTAATCTATACTAACTCGGAAAATGGTAATATATATATATGGTGGAAATTTTTTATGAAGATGGTAATTTACTTCCAAATTCCTTATCTATGTTTTCAGAATTCAGACCACACTTAAAGCATTCAATAACTTGGATCCTACACTATGGTGGAATCATTCAAATCAAATAAAAATCCATACATGATCAATGTACTGTACACATATCAACAATCTCTTATAGGACACTTTTTCCAGTATTCATCTCATACAATATAGCAATGATCATAATCTCTTGCTAAACCAGTATATGAAAGTACCATATAAATGAATTTTGTATTGCATACTTGTTGAGATATATAGTCCCACATTGATTGTGTGGGCAACTAATGTGGCCTTGGGCACTCCCACCCTTTGAGCTAGCTTTTGGGATTGTGTATCTCAAGGTTCTTAACATGGTATCAGAGCTTGAGTGACTACAAGATCACAAGTTCGATCCTCTCTGCCCCCCACTTTAAAGTGGGATTAAAAATAAAAAACACAAAAAGGTAAACCAAAAAATTGGACCTGTGCAATATCCACACTTCAAGCCCAAAGGGCTCTCGTGTGAGGGGGCGTGTTGAGATATATAGTCCCACATTGATTGTGTGGGCAACTAATGTGGCCTTTATAAGGCCTTGGACACTCCCACCCTTTGAGCTAGCTCTGATACCATGTTAAGAACCTTGAGATACACCACCCCAAAAGCTAGCTCAAAGGGTGGGAGTGCCCAAGGCCTTATAAAGGCCACGTTAGTTGCCCACACAATCAATGTGGGACTATATATCTCAACAATACTCAAACATATGGCATTTTATGTTATTGAACCCTAGGGGCAAGACTGTTAAAATATTTCCAACCAAGTACAATAATTACAATCATTACCCCACATAATTTCTTAAGAGGTGATGTTTAGTTATTTACCATGATCAGGTGCAGCCAATATGAGAAACAACATGGTAGGTTAAAATATCTGTGTGCTTAGAGATATAAGGACCAGTATCCTTACCCTTTGGCATTTCATATTGGAACATTTCCCCGAATATTCTTCACGATCCATCTCATGTTCTTTTTAATCTTATCCTACAATTTCACTGAGCATCCGTTTACTCTTTTTTTCTCATTTATATTCACACACAAATACACGTTTATGAAGAAAACAGAAGCATACAAATATATATTGTATACTTTTTCAAAAGAAAAAAAAAAAACTATTTTAGAGCTTTCTCATAAGCTAGAAAAGCTAACTTTTATCCAAAAAATATTTTTCAAAGTTTATCCAAACACACCCTAAATTACATGAAAAAAATGAAAATTGAGCTAATTAAGAAACCGCATGCGAAGTTATCAAAGTGAACAGAAATGGAGAAACGAAATTACGAAAACCCCAACCTCATCTCTTAACCAAGCAAAGCAATCTCGAATTAACCGATCCCTAAACTCAAAAATAAAAAAAATAAAAAAAAAAAATTAACACAGAACAGATTAAGATCTAATCAGTAGCAGAAACGAGAGAGAAGCAGTAACGAAGTTGAAGATCTAACCTCGAAGTGTTGAATTGAAGAGACAGAGATAGAGAGAGAAGAGTGAGACACAAGTTCGAGCGAATGTTCGAAACCGAAAAAGGTTAAAACCGCCAAAAAGCGACACGAAACGGAGGGATGGAAGGTGCGTTGTTTTTATTCGACGGAATCCAAAATGTTTTTTTTTTTTTTTATTATTAGTTTTTTTTTTTTTTCGAAACACGGTTGTAATCCAAATTGTGCGTTTCAAGTCCGCTGAGACAGGACACGTGGACGACATTCAGTGGTTCCGTTTGTGGTCGCTTTCTTATTTGCAACGCTGTCATGTCTTAACGCTGTCAGAACCTCCGTCAACCTCTTCCAATTCTCACTTGTGTCTGCTGAGCAACGGACTACACGACGTCGTTTGGACTTGGAGACACTCATCCGTCGCTCGCGTTTTTCTCGTGTCAAGTGTCAACTATCAAGATTCAAGGCTATTATTAGCTTTAAGCACTTTTAACTTTTACTGCATGTTTCGTTCACCGTATAGGATGAGATCTGATAGTATATGGTCTGATTATATAAGATTTGATTGAATTTTAATTTCAGAGTTTGGCACGATATTGTATAAAATAATATATTGTATTAGATAATATCATCTAGTATTTAGTTATGCACTGTATAATACTATATATGATAAAAATAAATATTTTTAATAAAAATATCCTTTAATAAAGAATTTATGTAATTCTTCAAAAAATGTCATATATGATATTAATTTTTATAAAAATTTATTGATCAGTGTATCCAAAATATAAATTAATTTTTATAAAAATAAAAATATTCAATATTTTAAAATTAATTTTTATTTTAATAGATTAATATTAAAATAATATATTAATTTTTGAGAATTACATTGATCAACGATGTAATACATCAATATCTTATCAGACCTTATCTCTCACCCTCAGGCCGGATTAAGTTATACATCGTTTTGATGTATTAAAGAATTATGTTGTATAAGCTTATACTATACTATGGTCACACCAAACAACTGAAAATGTCTTAACGTATGATATAAGTTTATACTATCATGTCTTATACGTCCTCTTAACTCTTAGGGCATGTTTGGTGTGACGTATAAGGCATGATAGTATAAGCTTATACTATACGTTATGACATTTTCAGTTGTTTGGTGTGACCATTGTATAGTATAAGCTTATACAGCATAATCCCTTAATACATCAAAACGATGTATAACTTAATCCGGCCTAAGGGTGAGGGATAAGGCCTGATAAGAGATTGATGTATTAACATCGTTGACTAATGTAATTCTCAAAAATTAATATATATATATTTTTTGGTAAACCAAAAATTATATATTATTTTAATTTTAATCTATTAAAATAAAAATTCATTTTTCAATATATTAATTTTTAAAATATTGAATTTTTTTTATAAAAATTAATTTATATTTTGGACACACTAATCAATAAATTTTTATAAAAATTAATATCATGACATTTTTTGAAAAATTATATAAATTTTTTATTAAAGGATATTTTTATTAAAAATATTTATTTTTATCATATATAGTATTATACAGTACATTACCAAATATTAGATGATATTATCTTATACAATATATTATTTTATACAATACCGTGCCAAACGCTGGATAGTATTAAAATTCAATCAGGTCTTATACTATCAGGCCTTATCCTATACTATGCATCAAACATGCCCTTAACTTTGTAAAGGAATTTAAGTTTAATGATTAAGAAAAAAATAAATTAATATTTAATAATTACTTGACTTGACTCGTAATCATGAGTTATGAAAAATTTCACGGGTTTGGAATTTGGATTGGTATACGCTAAGGAGCTAAGGAGAGGGAAAAAAAATTCTAAAAAACTAGATTTGTATCTTATCCGATCTTTTGTCTAGCTAAGTCCAAGTGCATTTATTTACAAAAAAAAAAAAAAAAAAAGTCCAAGTGCATTTATCTTTGTATATTTGATGAGGGAAACGTTTCCATTTATAGACTCCAACGACTACCTACATAAATAATAAATGATGGAAAAAAAAAATTCTATCATACGAGATAAAATTATGTTATTTTGGAATTGAGAAAATTAATAAATAATATTTTAAAAATTTTATTTATTTCTTTATTATATAAATTTTATCAAAACACTCTTTATTAATTTTTCAAACCTTCAAAAGAGAATATAACTTTAAGGTTATTAAAAATAATTTTATCTGTTGTGACACGAGAATCAATAAACTCATAAATAATATAGAAAAAAGTGTTTGTCATTTTAAAAGAGAGACACACAAAAATATTTTTTATTTAAAATTTAAATTAAAAAAAATCATTCACTTCTCTCCCATGATTTTCATTTCTTGTGTCTATGTCTCTCTTAAAATAACATAACTTATGTCATTTAAAATGACAAACATCAAACTCAATAATATAATATATTGATATTTTGATTCAATATAACACAATCCAAGTGTCCACAAATAAATAAAAATGAGAAAAGTTCTATCATTTAAAATCACACAACTTACATCCTTTCACTCTCACAAAGAGGTGGGACCCACACCTTTATTTTTTTTTTGTCAACTCTCTCTCCTTCTTTATCTATCTCTTTCTCTCTCTTAAAATGACACAACTCTACATCCTTTAAAATTATACACACTTTTCCCAATAAAAATTAGCGTATGCACTTGGCAAACTTTAGTATCCTTTTATGAATTTCTTAATCCTAACACTAATCGATTAAATTTAATAAGCAAATTTATCTTTAGCGTTGTAGCACTTTGAGTAATCATAGAGCAATATTCACATGATCCGGGACTGGGAACTGGGAACTGGTAACCTCACTTTTTCTCTCTGGAGATTAGTTTTGGAGGATTATAAAACTTGGAACATGCTTAATAAAACTGGCTATGATAGAGGTGTTACCGTTGATTGGCAAAATATTTTTGGAACCGCATGCTGGATTCTCTTAGTATTTGGTTGAAGGTTTATTTTAGAATTGATGGGAAAGTGTAGGTGGATATTGGAAAATACCATGTTTGGTTCAGGTTTTTTCAAGAAATACCAGGCAAATAGGATAGATGGGAAAATAACTTTTGTGTTGATTTTTGGATGAAATTCACTGTTACAGAATACCACTTGAAATGTGGTATTTTGAGATGACTGGGGAAGTGAAAAAACAGGTGCAAAATTTCTCCCCAACATAGATTTTGCATATTTAAATAAATTTCTCTGGTAATATTTGAGTCAACCAAACAACTTTTTTTATATTTTCCTATCAAACTCATTTTTCAACCACTTTCCTATCAATTACATTTCCCTAGTAAAAAAAAATTTCTCCCGAAGCAAACACTACATTTGAAACGCAATGACATTGTGTTTAACAAGTAACAAGCTCTCCTCATCATTTTTTTTCCTACAATGCACCTGCCCAACAACATCTCCACAAGTGTGATTTCTCCTAGTAATATATGTTTTTTGAGATATTGTTGCATAAATTCATATATAAACTTAGGCGCAGGTACATTTATATGGGTCTTACATAAAAGTAAAACCTGTACATGTGCCTGAGCTAGATATCTATGCAAGAAAAATTATAGTTACCAGCAGTGAGAAGCACTGACATATTCCAAGTAGTAATTGGATTAAAGAGCTCTAGATGTATTTTTTTTTCTTCTGTAAAATTTACACAAACTAATTCTTGTTTATCCTGGTGAATAAGGGTGAGGATGGACTAAAATTTACTTACAGAGAAATAAGCATTAGTAGAAAAAGAACTTACCTAAAAACCTCAGCTTGTAATGACAACTTACTACTAATCCAAAATATTTGACTGAATCTTGCATCAAATATTCTAGTGGAAAATTGGAAACTATTTGATTTGTACACTAGGAGGATAGCCATATCCTAATTCACTTCTTTAGGGTGATCACTAGACAAAAATAGGCCACAACTCGGGCAATTATACCATACAAAATGAGGACAATCAGACAAATAGGCCAATCACTGACATCATAGCCATTATTCATCAGTGAACTACAACGAGTTATCAGCCACACGCCAGTGTACCTGAGAAGAATAGCAGATTAGAAGGGTTATATGGCATAATTAGTAATTTAGTAGGCAACTGAAACAGCAATTTATGTCCTAACATGAGCATGAATAACACAGATCAACAACAGATGAATACTAGGAAGGGCAAATGCATGAATAATAACAGATCAACAACGAAGTTCCATATATGATACCATCTTAATAAAAGTTCTGAGTTGCCTAGTTTTATTCACGTTCTAGTTTTATTCATGTTAAACCTCATTGAACTGTGATGCCTGGCACAAATTAATGAGAGCAAAAAAGTCTTGTGTCTTTCTATGAATTTTTCACTTCTATGAATGCTTTTATTCACGATATTGAACCTTGCTACTTTTTAATAATCAACACCTGACAAAATATAAACGGTTCAGATCCTAATCAAAAAATTCAAATTGAACACTATCAGTGTTTGCATGTCAGAGAAGTTTTGCATGTTACGTTTCTCACTAAGGGTATGCCTGATATGTGAGAAGGAAAATAGCAAGGGAACTTGATATAAAGAGTAATGAAACAGTTTTAATAATTATCAGCTGGTGTTTGGAAGAGAAAGAGAAAAAATGAATACTTGAGATTGTTTTGTTTGAACTATTGATATCACATTATCATCTCATTTCCGCAAGAAAATATTCAAGTACAAACAACTGGAAATCCACTTTCATTTCATCATCCTTATTATCTTACCAAGCATATAATGACTTTCAAACCTCATCTCCAATCCCCCAGTTTAGTACAATAATACATGCCGAGCACGCCCTAATATTAAGCCCAAAAAAAAGCACTAATGATCCTACAACTGAACTTGATTTTCCATATTTTAGAAAGCAGCGCTATACCACCATGCCAATGTCATCATCAGTTAAAAAGACTGACTGAATTGAAGAATGCAACATTATAACCAAATCTCCCATAAATTCAAAGTCTTTCGCAAAAACAATTTGATCATCAAGATCTAACCTCAATGAACTTTGGACCATCTTAAATCTTCCAGGACTTAATAGGTAACACAAGGAGATTGAAAGGCATATATAACTTATCTCATTCACAAACTACTATCAACTTAAACATCTAATACAGCACTCTATGAATGTTATCTAATAAATCAATTATTTGATTATGTTATTCTTTCATTTGTGAATTAACCTTGTTTCAATCATATTATCTTGCTAACCAAGTGTTGAAGTTTACACATTTACATAGACAAAAATGTGCATACTTGTGTATGTCTGTACATTTGTTTTCAGATGTAAAAACGCATGAATGCATTCACTCAGTAGTCAATACTCCATCAGAAGGAAGGGGAATAAGAAGTCACTAATTAAAACAGACCTTTCTGCATTTGCAATGATAAAGGCCTCCAAAGCCCAATTTGGGTAGCACAATTTTACTAGGATCTTCATAAGGGTAGTATCTCTTTTCTGGTTTGCAATGAGAGTCATAACAACAGGGAGAAGCACAGACCCCTAAAAGTGATGGGAAAACAAAACAAAAAAAAGACGTAAGTGTAGTTATTATTAGCAATTCTATGTAAGAAAGTGTGTATATATTGATATGATCCATACCAGCTGTGCTGGAGCAGGCTCAAAGTAAATTGCTAATGCATAAGCCATGCCAGTAACACAATACACAAGGCAGAGCAAAACCACATAATTACTTCCAAAGCTTGACCTTGGATTGCTAAAAAAATAGAACATGGACAGATAAACCACAGGTTTGATGATTGTATTGAAAAGATCAATTGTATCTTTGGCCAAAAAATGAGCCAGACTACTGATCCCGGATGCAGACTCCCTCCAGTACTGTAATTTATCCAGAGAAAATGATCTGAGAGCTGCAATCTTGCAAAGTAGAGCTGCAAATATGCAATATAAATGAGAGAAGACACATATAGAAAGCTTTATCGAACGAAAAATAATTTTTTTCTCCTTTCCAGGGAATTGTAAGAACAAAGTTTAGTATAATTAAAATCATTCAAACTAATTACAGGAATCTAAACTTAGATGTTCAATTAACCCAAGAAAGAAAAGAAAGGTTTATTTCTAGAAGCAGAAAAAGAGACTCCAATTCAATAGAAAGCTTTCAGACTTACAGACAGCAATGACAGTATATGTATACCCAAGGGACCCAAATGTTTCATCATTTACTTTAGTAAGAGTTCCTAAGATAGCACCAGCAACTAATAAAAGGAGATAGTCAACTGCTTGTGATTTTGCTTCCCGCAGCTGCTGCTTACCAATCCTGAACGGAATGGACCTAGTTAATACTTAATCAATGCAATCAATATAGTAAATTATTCATTGCCGTTCAAAAAAAATAAGCAACTCAATTTGTTCAAATAAGCTATGAAATTTAATTTTTAAAAAAGATCCGACTAATAAAATCTTATGTTTCATGCTTAAAACTCTAGATTACATATCTATCTCGTACATACGTATGTTAAAAATACATAGGTAGTTACTTTACTCTAACTTATTAAATTTATTTCTTGTCAGAAAACAGAGCTGGTAAGCTTTATTACAAGTAACTAGAAATCCAGCCTTGTTAGTTGATTGGCTCTAAGGGAAATTGTATCTATATTAAATCATAGGATTTCATACCGCCCAAGGTAGTATCGATATTGCCAGGATACACCAGGAGTCGTTCGGTTAGATAAGTCCTTAGTCTTTAAGAAGGTTGCCTCTATATGATCTCGTTGGCTCTGAACATTACTCTTCATGTCCTCCCAAAACTCACCAGCAAAGGATCGATCAGCAGCTTCTTCAGTACCCTTTGTTGTTGCATCATTTATATTTGAGGAAGATGATGAAGCAGCAATTTGATCAATATAATGAAGCATATCTGGTGGTACTGGGTAACTATTATGAAGCATCCATCTGACAGGAAGCTGTTGATAAGTCACACCTGAACTTGGTTTTACTAAACCTTCCAGAATGTCAATGAAATGGTCTGGAGGATTCACTCGATCAGGCACAGGGATTCCAATACCAGCAAAGTATTCTTCTACTTTTTTAACAGGACCGTGATATGCAGTAAGGCCACCTTTGGCTAGAAATATTATGTCATCAAACATTTTGAACAAGGTATAGCTGTATCACAACAAAATCAAAATAAGACATAAAGTATATGTTGGAATCTTTGAAGAACATATTTTATTCTATAGAATATGTTAATTCTAGCAGGTTGTTAGGTATATGTGCACTTGACCAGAAACAAAATTGAGAGAGAGAGAGAGAGAGAGAGAGGAAGGTACAATTACCTTGGTTGGTGAAGTACCATGCAGATGTTTACCCCCTCAAGAGCTTCGCGACGAAGTGCTTTAAGCAGTAAAGTGGAAGATGCACTGTCCAAACCAGTTGTAGGCTCATCTAAGATTAACAACGAAGGCTCCATAACCATCTCCAGCCCTACATTTACACGTTTGCGTTGCCCTCCAGATATACCTCGCTTCTCTACAGTCCCAACAAGGGAATCTCTCACTGCCTGGAGCCCCAAGGACTCAATTACTCTTTCAACAATCAGAACCTTATCTGGTTTTGGCATGTCCGCAGACAGTCTCCAGTAATAAGAAACAGCCATTTGAATGAAATTAAAAATCATAAGGGAACAAAAGCTCAAAATAATATACAAAATCAAGAGAAAAATACTTATTAGATATGAGGTACTTAGCGCACAGGTTCACTATAAAACCAGGAAGCTAAATCTGTAACTAGTGCATTTGAATGAATTCTTTTTATCCATCTTATTCTATTCGCATATATTTGATGTTTCAAAGATGTTCATTCTACAGGTTAGCACGAAAGATAAATGATGGAACCCAAATTGAAATATTATTGTATTAATTGAAAACACCGGAGAAAAGGCTCCTTAGAGTCATGCTTAATAAAAGTACATTTCTTCAAATTAGCAAAGAACTGATGCTTCTTCAGTACTTCCAGCACTTGAATTAATTGACTGACATGTGTTTGCTCATCTTTGCTGTAAATTAAAATGTCATCGAAGAAAACCAATACAAATTTTCGAAGAAAAGGCCGGAATATTTCGTTCATAAAGGACTGGAAAGTCGATGGTGCATTCCTCAGCCCAAACGGCATGACCAGGTACTCATAGTGTCCTTCATGAGTCCTGAAAGCCGTTTTTTCAATGTCCTATGTCCTCATCCTAATCTGGTGGTAACCAGATTTAAGGTCCAACTTTGAAAACACCACTGCTCCATTGAGTTCATCCAGTAACTCATCTATCACTGGCATAGGAAATTTATCTGGGATAGTGACTCGATTAAATGCCCTAAAGTCCGTGCTAAATCTCCAGCTTCCATCTTTTTTCTTCACTAACACCAAAGGGCTTGAAAAAGGGCTGGTACTCAGTCTAATCCATCCAGTGACTAGCATCTCCTTTACAAATTTTTCTATTTCCTCCTTCTGGTAACGGGGATAATGATATGGTCTTACATTAGGGATGGCAGCCCCCTCCTTCAGCAGAATACGATGGTCATAATGCCTAACTGGAGGTACACCCGTTGGTATTTTGAACGACATCTTGATATTCCCTCAGTACTTGTGTAATAGTAGGAGGGTGCTCTTCCTCCTGAACCCCAGCAGACAATAAATTCAACTCCACATAAAATCGTTCAGCCCCTATCCTCAAAGCTCTACCCAACCCCTTGAAAGTAACATTCTCCTTTGACAATGTGGGATCCCCACATAACTCGACCATTCTCCCCTTCCACCGAAAGCGTAAGATCAATTTTCTAAAATTTGCTTGAATTTCCCCAAGCCTCTCCAACCATGCAAACCCCAGAATAACATCAACTCCTCCCATGTTAAACAAGTAATTGTCTTGTTCAATAGTCATACCTGGTAATTTCAAGGGTACCTTCCTACAAACTCCTTTACTGACTGCTCGATACCCATCTCCCACCTCTACGTCATACTCCTTCGACCCTTCCGCGACCAAATTTAATTCCTCAGCCATGTGTCCGTCCAGGAAGTTGTGGGATGCACCTGTATAATCAAGATCGTCACCTTTCTGCCCTTGATTTCCCCCCATATTTTCAGAGAACGCCGTGATGTCAAACCCACGATGCTATGGACGTTAAGTTGCAGCGGCCCTTGCTCTCCATCTTTGTCCTCTCCGTTCGTCGTTTGTATCTCCTCTTCCTCGGGAATCGTCTCCCCAACACCCAACATCATCACCGACAGGTTAGGTTGCTGACAAATGTGGTCAGGTGAGTATGAGGCATTGCAACGAAAACACAAGTTCTTCCGTCTTTTTTCAGCCACCTCCTCTGGTGAGAGAAGTCTGTATTTGGTCCCTCTTCCTCCCCCAATTGCATTAGGATTTCTTGCATTAGTGTTGCTACCGTCGTTAAAGCAATAGAGTCCACTGAGTTATTTTCAACATTAGCCGTAGCGAAATTACGTCCCTGTCCTCTATTTTGGGTTATGCTACGAGAGCCCATGGTCTCGTTCCCCTTATGTTCCTCTGTTTCGTTTGGGCTCTGACCCATAATGGGCCTAACATCAGCGTTGGATGCAGCCCGATTCGGAAGGGCTGTTCGATTGTGAAACCCGTTTCCATGTCTGAAGCGTCCAACGATTAGCCCAACCTGCTCCCTTACCTTCTCCTTCTCCTCCACTCTTTGCGCCAAGGTCATCATACGATCTACGTCAGTCAAAGCATGGAGTCTCACCTCAGCTCTGATCTCTTCTTTCAGGCCATTGAGGAAAGCAACTTGCATCATTTCTTCTTCCGCGTGACGAAGCGACACTGACAGAAGCTCAAATAGCTCTCTATACTCAGCAACAGTCCCCTCTTGTCTGAGGCACATCAACGCTTCATACGGATTCCCAGATGATGAACTGTGGAACCGCTCTAAAATGCAAATCTAAACCCGTTCCAAGTAATGGCTAGATTACGGCTCTCCCACCATTGAAACCAATTGAGAGCTCTCCCTTCCAAACAAATCACTATTGTCTCTACTTGCTCCTCAACCGGAACGTGATTTATCCGAAAATAGCATTCGGCACGATACAACCATCCGTAAGGATCATCACCATTAAAATAAGGCACCGGCACCTCTATTCTCCGCTCACGTTCTACTTCTCTCACACGATTAGCCCTATTCCCCTCTTCACCATCCCTGTTGCCATTGTCGTTCAAGTTACGATTTCTGTTTCCACCTCCATTCCTCGACTCATGATCCTCCGTCCTCGTTTCATTTACTCGGTCTACAAGTTCCAACACCGTCGTGTTCAATTGACGAAGGGATTCTTCAATTCCCCCTAATCTTCCATTTGTTTGAATGCTTCCTCTTTCTAAGTCCTCCAATCTCGCTTCCATTTTCATTACTACCATATAGTGTTTCTCAGGATCAATAGAGCTTTGATACCAAATTGATGGCACCAAATTTGAATAACAGTAAACTTTGTATTAATATGGGAACTTAGCCCTTGTAGTAATATTCACAGACTCATAGATTGATGAAACAGTAACAATTCAACAACAGACTTCATGACTCAAAGCGAAATAACAACCACGTAATCTAATTCACTTGACTACAGTATAAACTCTCTGTAATCACACTAGTAATGACACTAGTAACAACGAAGATAAAGACAATTCAAGACACTCCTCTCTACAGGAACAATCCACCTTGCAGAGCTACCCAAATTCCCCTTTTCCTGATTACACAATTTTCATGCCCTCACATCATTCCCCCCTTTCCAATATAACTAACTTCCCTCACTTCCCTTGCGTCTCTCCCACTATTGATTCTCCATTCAGAGCTTGCCATGTGTCCACTTCTCTAATCACCTTTCCTTCTCTCTCTTTGCTCACTACCATTCTGTTATTTCCCATCTCATCTGCCACTTCATCATGCTCTTGTGCAGCCAGCTCATCAGCCATTTCATCTCTTGCCTCCATCTCATTATTTGCTTTCACAGCCAACTCATCAGCCACTTCATCCCCTACTCTTGCTGTTTGCTGTTCGCTTTTTCTTCCCTTTTTCCTCTTGTACACATATTTTAATGGTACAGGTACATCACCCTCCAAGCTCTGCATTATCTCTTTTTACTGCTGTGTATCTTTCCTTCTGTCTCCACTAAATGCATTCCATATCAATAGTAGGAGAAGAGGTACATTGTTAATATATATATATATATATAACAGAGCTATACTTCTAGTACCTTATCATATATCAAGTTGGCAATAATAATTACTCAAAGATAACCTTAAATAATATGACACAATATGTCAGAACAATCATGTCAACTGTTAAAAGATAAAAATAAATATGAAACTAGAAACACACCCCACATAATTGCTAAATATATAAAATAAGGTGTCCTAATTTTATTAAGCTTCAAAACAAGTACAATGAAATTTGAAGTAATAACAAACACAGTGCATGCATTTCAATCATTCAAAATATGAAAAGCACTGAGTAAGTTCCATAATGCAAATCAGTTACCTGCATCTTGCACTGAAACGAAGATTTTCCTCCACTGTCAAGTTTCCATGCACAATATCATCTTGTGGCACAAAACCAATAATTTTCTGATAACAGTGAATGGAGTCGGGTTTTCCATTGATTAGAATTGAACCTGTCATAGTGCATCCTCTTGCTTTACCCGCCAAAGCAGAAAGAAATGTAGTTTTTCCAGCTCCTGAGGGACCCATCACAGCTGAGACTCGACCAGGCATGATTTTACCGGTCACACACCTCAGTAGATGTTTTCTTTTTCCACTCAAAGTGAGAGTTAAATCTTTGAAAGCTACCTCAATCACAGGCCTTGTTCTAACATCACCTTCAGTAGCCATTGAAATCACTCCCGAGAAAGTCAAGTTCTTGTTCTTCTCTTGTTGAGCTTTCTCCTTCTCAATCTGACCGTAAGCATACCTTAAAATTTGGCTTTGCGTATGCAACTGTTTGCCTTTTGGCATCTGCTTTTTAATATTTTTATCTCCAATCTGCAGATTGAATCCTTCATTGCTATTTGGGTCATTCTCAAAGGAATTCAACATTTTAGTAAGGTTACTAGGTTCATTGTTTGGGGCTTTTGAAGCTGCAGATGACTCCTGAGATGTGCTTGAAGAACCTGGAGGCACAGGTGGCAAAAGAGTACTGCCCATAGCAGGTTTTGCTTGACTAAAAACCTTAGATTGCTCCGCTTGCTTTACTGATTTTCTGCGAGAAAAGGTGCGGGATAACTGCTCTTGCAATCCCGGCTTACCCTTCTTAGCAATATCTTTAGCTATTTTCCACCTTTCTCGAGCTTGTACAGTTTCTCTTACTTGTCTTGCTGCAGCTTCCCTAGATTTAGCCTTCCTTCTTTCTCGAGTAGCTAGAACTTGATCAGAACAGTTATAAATGATGATCAAGATAGTACTCAATGCAACCTACAAGTGTAAAGAAAATCAAATATGATAAACAGGGCATAGAGAGAAGGAATCCTTAGCTCAAATATTAGAAAGTATTCCATGCTCTTTCAGAGTATATACAAAAAGAAAAGCAAGTAAACTTTGGGACAATTTTCTGCTGATCTTTTTCTGTATTTCTTCATATTGCAGGAAAAGGCACCACAGTTGGTCAAGGAAGAGAGAGACACAGAACCTTTAATAAAGTGTAGGTAAAATAAACAACAAAAATTATCCATTGAAACCTTCAAAATAATCATTCAAGAAAACACATGGTAATAAAAACCCTGATAGAACATGAAAAGAAAACTAAAGTTAATCAAAGTTTTCCATATTGCATAACCAATGAAGCAAAATGAAATATAGAGGAAAGCAAAGTATGACCTCATCCAATACCAGATCAGATTCTACTTACAATAAGCAAAGCGCCATAAGCATGCATATTTTGGTTTGCTGTGCTTGGATTACAGGTACTCAACTTGGAGCATGCTGCGAAAATGAACAATACAAACCAAGGTTCCAATTTAATATCCCCCATTCTCAGACAAAGAAGAGCAGGTAAATGAGATAGAAAAGTTAAATCCAATTACTGATAGATAATTTTCTGGATCTAACCCAATCAATCATGTCAAATATGCTGCAATGCATTCACTCCTATGGAGAAAGCTAAAATATCAGGTCTTTATTATTTAGACTTCAAATTTGAATTCACAGTCAGTTGCACAACTGGATCTGAGTATAATTTTTTCTGCTTAAGATTTACAATCTGAAACGTATAATTTTTTCAAACAGATGTGAGGATCATACCTAAACACAAGTAAATTATACCAAATCCAGGTATAAATTAAGTTTAAGTTAACAACCATTTATGTAGATTTAAAAAGGTTCTTTATTTTTGTATTTTCTAAAAATTCCGCTGAATTTTTTTCTTGACCAATCAGTGAGAAGTGGATGAAATTTTTAATACTTACTGAGAAAGGCAAAGGAGAGCACTCAAAGTTGTTGGTTAAAAATAATAAGACAAGTCATAAATATATGAAGTAGAATTTAATAATGTCATAAACTCATGAAGCACAATTTAAGGACAAAATGATCATACAACTTAACCAAATAAATTATACTTACAATATATACCCCCAAAAGAAAAAGAAAGAAATTAGACTTACGATTTTGGTGAGTAGAGCCCATCCTGCAGTAGTATCTGAAATTGGAAAAAATAATGAGTATGGATGCTAGCAGTCAGTACCAAGTTGGTAGCAATGGACAGAACAAAGAGGTATGGGAAAAATCAATACCCACTATCACAAGAGACTTTACGTGTTGTAGTTGGGCAGTATGATCCCGGAGAACAGAAGATATCACTATTGTTTACCATGCCAGACCAAATATCAGCACTGCCACAAGTATGATTTGTTTCTCCCTGAGGTATCTGATAACTATATCTGCAAATTCTATTTTAGTGAGGAAGCTTAGACAACAAAGGAAAAAAATTAGCGTCAAGAGAAAAACTTACGGGTCACAAATTCCAGTCTCATTGTTCAGTTTTGCAAGTGGACAATAAGAGCCTAGTGGGCAAGCTTCATTGAGAGGAAAATCAGAAAAGTTAAAAACATTATACTTGAGCAGCTAATTTTCATCCACAATAGATAATTTCAGAGATTTTAAATGAAACCAAAGTTGTTTTCTGAAGAATATGGAAGTTAGCACGATGACTATCAAAAGCGAAACTGAAGAAAATAATATGCATGTCTTGTATGTACTATAGACAAAAAAATCTTGGCCCCCAGTGTAAAAGAGAAAATATTTATGCATCAAATCACACTTAGGGGTGCTGTTTTTTGAAAATTTTCACAACAATATATTTCAACATCAATACTAAATATAATTCAGGTGTCATACACAAACCATGAAGACATACAATAGCTTTATTACAGGGCTCACAGTTTTTGCACAATACTATCATAAAACATACTCTTGTGATGAAATATGCCCCACAGATTTTGCACAAACTTAACATTTAATATGTTTCGAATAGACACTAACTTGCATACATCATTATTCATAAACCCTGTCATTCAGGAAAAAATTTCTTTTCCACCAACTTGGTATATATATGGACTTAGTTGTTTCTTGTATGCTTAGGTGTGTACTGGTTGGATTAACCCCAAGCCCAGGTAAATGAAAAATTGCTTCTGATTTGGGTCTTTGCTGCATCTCACCTAGCACTAGAGTACTTCTATCTACAGTTTCCTTTGTGAACATCAGGTCATCTCCTCCAACCAAGTAATTTAAACAAGCTTGGAACCATCTCCATAATTGATGCTAGTTTAAACTTCAAAATCCCAAAAACTTCAACAAATGTAGCTTGTAATCCATTTTCCTTTGATCTCAAATGTTGCTTTGTTTTTTTCACGGACTTTTTTTTGAGATATAATGATTTTTTTGTTAATACATATTCTTCTCTTTACAGCTTTGATTAACCCTACATTTCTAGGCATCAGCGTTACAAACACCTAGCTTAAGTTATTAGGCATACATTAACCCTAATATGTTTATCATGATACAATGCAACTGTCTGGGGTAAACATATCTCACATATGAGATATAATGAAGCATCTATCTCAATTTCCTAATATATAAATATATTAATCGTTGAAGATTGAAGAGGAAAGATATCAATTTAACAGAAGGTATAATTTTAAGAGGCATCACATACTTACGTATCATGCATGTCAATCCCTGAGGGCAAAAAAAGCCCTCACAACAAGGTTGACAGTTATCAGTTCTATAAGGAATTTCCTTTATGTCCTTTTTGAGGTCAATACTCTTGCCCGCACTACAACCCCAACCAGGTTCACAACCAGAAACCCATGAGGTCAAATTGCAATTCTTGTTAGGTTTTACGTAATTGGAAGATGATGCCCCCTGTTCCAAGAAACCGTGGAAGTAGTACCTTATTTCAGTTGCAGTACATATTCGATCTCTGAAATCTCCTGTCAATCAAATCACATTATATTTAGGACCTAGCATAAAATGAATGACAGAAATTTGCTTCAACCAAAAAAAAAAATGCACAAGAAAAGAATAAACCAAGATTAAGTATGTGCCATACAGTTCCTTAGCCTACAAATTCCAATGCCTCAAATATACAATAGTATGTCTTTGGCACTGGACAGACGGTGGATTACAATAACCATCAAGAAATTTTGCTGAAGTTGGGCATGTCAGCGGCACAATCCCATGCAACACACAATTATGAGAATTGAACTTCCTTGTATCCTAAAGATAACACTAAAAAGTAACCAATATGCTAACCTCTAAACACACAACGAAAAATTCTACACAGTTTATAAATCATAATTCCTATGTCCAAACTTCTATTCTTACTTTTTTGTCATCTTCCAAGGACAGAAAACAACCTACAATTACACTGTCCAAACTTCAGTAGTCTAAACTTTGGGTAAACTTCGGTAGTCAAAACTTCAGTATTAAAGCTTCTATGACCAATTGACCATGAATGCGTTCCTTGTTGCCTTTATTATTCTAAATAAAAGTTGAATCTCAGCACAAGGTAAAATGAGCCTGTGCATTTTTTTATGCGTCACCTAACACCTTAGGTTTTTGGAAGTATTGGACTTTGACTAATACTAAAATGTCAATATAAGAACACATACCTTTTTTCTTAACACAAGAATCCACGAAATCCAACTTTTCCTCAAAGTCAAATGCTTCCACCCAATCTTTTTTCCTGAAAAATAGGAAACAGTATAGTCAACAAGGAAACATGGACACTTCAAAATGGTTGTTGTGCTGTGGTTGTCAGAGTAGTGTCGGGGATACTCCGAACATGCATGCTACAATTTTATCACTTTTTTTTTAACTGTTTCCGTAATATAGTTGAGATATATAGTGTCTAACTTGTGAAACATTAATGTGGGCACAGGTAAATCGTGTTATGATTAATGCTTATATCATCGTTCAGGTTTTATGTTTTATTAATGTTAATCAATCTTGTATTAATTTTATCCTAGGTGGTTAATAAACTAGGAGAAAAGTGAGTAAAGTAAATAACTATAGGAGAAGGCAATAATAGAAAATGACTCTCACACATCCTTGATGCAGAAGCCTAAACTTGTTTTGATGTCCCTGTTTAAAAGGGTAGCAAGATTTTGAAGCTCCTTATAGATTTCTTCAGTGTAAAAAGAAGGGGCAAAAGTGCTATCCGCGCATTGAATCCGTGGTGGCAGACTCAAAAACGCGAAAGAGAATAAGAACAGAACGAGAGCGACCGAGGTGGAAGCATTGTTCCTCATTTCCATAATTTGGAGGTCGCCAAATCAAGCAACCTTTGAAGAAGAAGAAGGAGAAGAAGAAGCCATAGGTTAGTGAAGCTAAGGTGGAAGAAAAAAGATGCAGCGGGGAAGAGGAGGGAGGGTTGAGGGTGATGAAAGGTTTGTTCATTGGTGGAGTTTGTGGGAGTGTCCTGATTTTGGGATGAAGAAATGGCCGAGAGAAATGGGTGGCTAGATTCAAGGATGTGCATTGTTTCTACTCTCTCTCTCTCTCTCTCTGTTTGATAAAACACTTGCCCTGCGTTTTTAAGAATAGGGGTGCTTCAAGGGAACCATATTTTCTTTTGCTTATAATTTTCATTTTACAACTATTTAATTAACAGATTTTTTATTTTTATTTTTCTGGGCGCACTTTTAAAGTGGTGATTAATGCCTGGGGATTTTTTTTAGCTTTTCTTTCTTTAAAAGTAGAAATTAGCAATCTTTAAAGATTCGGTCCGACATTGACTCGGCCGAAGTCAAGGGTCATGGATTCAATTGGAGGGTCACAGGATCATTCTGTTGATCCGATTTTATACATTAAAAAAATATAAATATATATCATATATGAAAAACTCAAAAAAATAAAAATAAAAGCACCAATCATTAAAGATTCAAAATATGCTTAACATAATTCAACCAATTACATCCACAAGTCAATATTCACAAACTAATTAAAGTATCAAAGTATAAAACACATATTCCAATGGGGTTAATGAAAAGTTATATCATCAAACTCAAGTTCTTCTTGTTCTTCTCATGCACCTACAACAGTATGTGAAAGGAGATCCCTTACTCAATAGAGAATAATGGAGAAAAGGAGGCGACACGATAAATTAACGATGAGAAGAGAAGAACCAGCACAGTAGAGGAGATCACCGGATCAGGGAGACTGGGTTTGGGAGAGAAGATCGGAAGAGAAGAAGAAGAACGATTCAGATTTCAAGTCTAGTTCTAAATCTAGGCAGTAACATGTTTTGTTTTGTTTTTTATTTATTTTTACACATCAAACGACATCATTTCATGTATAATTTTTTTTTTCAAATAAAAATTGCAGTGATCCCTCTGACCCGGGAGTCACAGGTTCAACCAGGGGGTTAGAAGAGTCAACATGCATATAGGGTCTAACTACTAACACAAACCCTCAGAGAGAGAGGGTCAGTGACCTGGGAGGTCGACCCCGGGGTGGGGCGGGATTTTAAAACACTAGAAATTAGGCTAAACATATTTTTATAAAAGTTCTTATAATAAAAAAATTATAATAGAAAAATAAAATTCAAAAGCCAAAAATTATTAGGAGAAATTAATTTTTAAAATAAAAATATTATAAAATCATCAAACAATTTTTTAATTTTAAAAAAAATTAGGTTTAACTTGAAAGTATTTTTTAACTTAAAATAAATATCAAATAAGATCTTAAAATCTTTTCATGGGATAACGAAGAGAAAGTGTACATAAAAAAAGTGTTTTATTATAAAATGTTGAATTCCCTGAAGCTTTTTCATGTGATATAACGGTACCAAATGCATAGGACCTAAAGATTGGAGGACAAACTTTCACACAAGCTATTTGTGTTAAATGGTGAGCTCTGCTAGGGCTTCGGGGGAAACTAGTGTCTTAGGGGATATGGCTGGAAAATCTCAGTCGATAGAAGAGAATGACCTGTTGAAAAGAAGCATAGAGAAACCGAAAGATAAGGAAAGGGAAGAGGAAACTGTGGTGCAGATGGTTGAAATGGAAAGGACCAAAGGAAAAAAAATAGTGAATGCTGAATTACTTGAGGAACAAAAGACTAGGGAGAACCCCCCCTAAAAGGAGGGTGGTATCCTATAAAGATACACTCCTTCAGTTTAATGGTACTAGGGGGAGGAAGAGTAAGAGGAGCACTGGATAGAGCAACAGTTGCGTGAAGAGGATGAAGAAGACCTACAAGAGGAAGATGTGAATGATGCCGAAGAAGACCCTTTATGTCCCTCTTTCAAATATCTGAAAGAGATCCATAAAGAAGCATGCAAAAAGTGGAAGAATGCACTCATAGTGAAGCTGCTAGGAAATAGACTAAATGTAAAATATCTTCTAGGAAGATTGCTGAAAATGTGGAGCATCTCAGGAGCTTATGAGTTCATAGACCTGAAAAATGACTATTTTCTTTTCAAGTTTATGGACGAAAAAGAACATGCTCATGTCCTCCAAGATGGACCGTGGGTCATCGCAGGACATTATGTTACAGTTCAAAGATGGAGACCATTGTTCACCCCTATGATAAAACTCTGAAGAAGCTAGCCATCTGGATAAGGATACCGGGTTTGCCGCTAGAGTTCTATACTTCTCATCTGCTATGAAGCATTGGCAACATTTTTGGTAGGACTCTTAGAATCGATAAAAATTCAATCCGGAAGAAAGAGTCTAGCCTGGAGGAGTTTACAGAACGTGCAAGGTTTGCACGAATATATGTAGAAGTTGATCTTTCCAAAAAATTTCTTTCCAAGTTTAAAATAGGAAGCAGGACCTTGCATGTAGCCTATAAAGGCATGAACCTAATATGCTTTGGATGTGGTGGATATAGACACAGGAAGGACCGTTGTCCAAAAGTGCAAGGTGAAGGCGCAATGGAAGGGAGCAAGGCTTGTGATTCGAAGGTCCAAAACTCAAACAAAGGGAAAGGGAGTAGAGGTCTGGAAGAGGAACTATTTGGAGAGTAGATGATTATTCAACGTCCAGCAAGAGGAAAGAAACCTAAACCACCCCAGATGAACAACGAAGATCCAGGAAAGAAGAAGACGGTTGGTAGTGACGATCCTGGGAAAATGAAGTATGTAGGATTTGTCAGAGGTGACAAGAGAAAACAAAAGGATGGAAGCTTCCCCGCCAATTTTCATGTAGCCGAAGCAGTAAGCTCGAGATTTGAAGCTATAAGAGAAATGTGTGAAGTCGCAACCCAACTCAATCAAACCTCGGAGATAGCTATGAAAGGAGCAAGTGTAAAGGCTAGAAGTCTTGAGACAGAGAGTGATGGTGCAGATGTAAAGGTCATGAGTCCTGAGACAGCTTCTGATAGAGCAAGTACTAGTAACATGACTATTGAGAAAGCAACTGAGGATGCTTGTGTAAAGCTTAAACCCCTTTTGGTGAATCTCCCCATGCTGAGATTAGGAAAAGAAATAACCACCTAGGATCTGAGATAAAGAAAAAATAAAGTTTGAAAGGACCAAAGCCCATTAAACAGGGGCCCATAAAGCTAAAGCCTGAAAGGGTTATTAGTAAACCAGCCCAAAGACCCACCTTGAATCCTAAAAAGCCTTTGTCTATTGCTAAAATATCCAAACATAACGGTAAACTAGAAAACAAAGCAAGTAACATCGCAGACGCCATAGGGGAGTTGCAAGGTGTCGAGACTCAAGGAGAAGGCAAGGACAATGTTAATCCTAAGGCTCAGCCTCCTGACGCTCTGGAACTAATGAGAAGATTCTCGCCATCTCCAGAAGGAAAAGAGTTTGATGCTAATCTGGTTACAGTGAGTGGTATGAAGGTCTTCTCAGAGATCAAACAATGACTCAGGTTTATAAGTGGATTATTTCACTAATGTTTATTAGTTATTAAATGATTATCTGCAGCTGGAATGTGAGGGGAGAAAGTAAGAAAGGTCTGGCCCCGCTTATTCAAGACATCACCAATAAGTTCAGAATCAAAGTTCTTTGTCTCATGGAGACTCGGGTTAGTAGGGAAAAAGCCAAACGGTGCATTGCAAAGTTGGGTTTTAACAACCATTATATTCAAAAAGTTGTGGGATTTTCTGAATGACTATGGCTCCTGTGGAATAATGAAGATGTTAATGTCAATGTTATCTCTGTGCACCATCAATTTATTCACATTTCTTTAGCTTCGAAAGAGTCAAGGAAGGAAGGACTTATCTCTTTTATCTATATGAGTCCTAGATGTATTGAAAGAAGACCTTTATGGGAAAGCCTCCAAAATCTAAACATTAATGCTAATGATGCTTGGATTACAATGGGTGACTTCAATTCCTATCTATGGGAAAAGGAGAAAACTGGAGGTGCAGAGCCAAATTGGAACTCAATGAGGGAGTTCCAAGCTTGTCTTGATGAGTGTAGTCTTTTTGATATTGGGTTTAAAGGTCCAGAATTTACTTGGAAGAGGGGTAGGCTTTTTGAGAGGTTTGACAAGGCTTGTAGCAAAGACAATTGGAATCTGCGCTTCCCAAACTGATTCCTTAATCATCTCCTTTTCTATAGCTCTGATCATAGACCTATCATTCTCCTTACTGGATCCCCTCCTTCTGGGAACTAATAGCACTCGTCCTTTCTGTTTCATGGCTTCTTGGTTGACTTGTGACTCTTTCCAGAATGTTATAAGTAACTGTTGGGGTGGGGAAGCTAACTGGAGACCAGCTTGTGAGAAGTTCCAAGCGGAGGCTCTGATTTGGCATAATGACACGTACAAAGAAGTTAACAAAAAGAAATTTAGCATCCATGCTAGACTCAAAGAGGTCGATGACAAATTAAGCAGATTCTATTATATTGATTTAGAAGATCTCCAAAAAAGCCTGTGGTTGATGTTTGGATGTAGAAATTCAAAATTCTTCCACTCCACAACAGTAGCTAGAAGAAGAGTGAACATAATTGACTCTCTGAAAAATGAAAATGATGAATGGTTGGGAGAACCAAGCCTATTAAGCAACATGATATCAAGCTACTTTGAGAAGTTATACTGTAAATAGGCTTTTAGCAAACCTAGCTTTCCTGTGAAAGGAGCTTTTCCCTTACTTCGAAATCAGAGTTTAAGGATGCTAAATGTTATGCCTTCGGTGGAGAAGATTAAGTATGTGGTATTCCACTTTGGATCCTTTAAGGAACCAAGATCTGATGGTCTTAATGCTCTTTTTTTCCAAACTCAGTGGAATAAGGTTGGTAAAGCCGTTTGTGAGGTAGTTAAGGAAGTCTTTTTGAACCCTACTGGTGTGG